CCCCCCCCCCCCTTGCCAGCACCACGGGTGCTGTTAGACACTTAATGAGGATGACTGGCTAATCAAAATATGGAGAACTTTTACCAGACTAGGACAATCTCAGGAAGTCAGTATTTTTTTCCCCAGGCAACTCAAGACACTATTCCACCGCACCCCTCCAGCCCCAAAATCAGTTCCTGAAGCTGTTACTTTAAATAAAACAGGTATCTTGAAAATCTGTTGCTCCATTTAAGAAAAAAACCCTGTTTCTTCATCACTGGAATGTCTCTCCAAAGTCTGTGGGGTTTGTTTTGTTTATTGAATATTGATTCTATAATATTTTCATTACAATGGATCTTTCAAAGGAGGAGATAGGAAATTTTGACTTATTCTTTTCTTCCACACCTAGATAGTGACACCACACCCTACTTAGTTTTTGGAACAATGATAATAAACAAAACAGAGGTGTCCTAATAAGTACCTTAAATTTGTAATACTGATGCTGATTTCAAATTGTAATGATGTTAGTGATATCTAAAAGAAAGCATTCAATTACCACGTAATGCCTATACAAAGTTTTGTTGGTTTACCTGTTTCTATTTAGAATTTTAGAGCTTACAAGAAAAAAGTGCTGGATAAGAGTATTTTTTTCTGTTTCTGTCAGGTTGCTCTCTTTCTGGCCTGGATTCAGTCCAGAATTGTTCAGAGCATGTGACTCTTATTTCCAAACTTCTTCAAAGGTGGGATAGACTTTTGAAAACATTGCCTGTCTCGTACATGAGATGTGACATGCAGCTTTGTTAGGCACTGGGCTGCTCTACTTGTGTTACTCCTGCCCTGCACAGTAACGGCATGTTGCTGGGTTATTACACAATGAGACAGGAAAGATCAGTGAGATCATCTGCTATATGTTTCTGCCTGGTCAGAGCTGCCTGTAGTACATCAGTATATCACAGCCTGATAACATTAGCAACAAATTAAGGCCACCCAGTTAGTCACGCAAGGGGCTTAAGTCTCCCTCCCCAGTCATTTATAACTAAATAATTACTAACTGGCTTTCCAGCAGATTTTCTGTGGATGGTAATAGTAAGAAAGCTGAATTATAGTCAGAGCAAATGCAGACAGGCATGGCATGAACCTAAAAAAATAACTTTCATGAACCATGGATACTAATATTAGTAAAAAAAAAAAAAATGTGAGTAGTACCATGCTCATTACTTAGGGCTTGACACACCTGATGGATAGTATGGCAACAGCTGACACCTCTTTCTAAACAAATAAATGATTTTAGGACTGAGCTAGCATAATGACTAGAAGCCAGTCTTGATTCACCATAAATATTTGGGTGTGGATCTAGGTGGTTAAAGTTGTGGTTCAAGCAGCTTTTGAGCCTGGTTTTATTGGAAGTGTTCTTAAGCTGAAGCTATGTCAGAATCTTGTATTTGGCAAACACCCAAGCCTAAAAGAAATTAAATTTGTGTTAAAAGACAATACAACTGGCTTGAAACATGTAGCCAACCAAGCTAAGAAAGATAAAAATATACAACTTGAGGCCTGGCAGTAGTTTTTTATGGCTTTGACTCTACTATATTTTTCCATTAGAAAAAAAAACCCAACCTCTTAGCATAATAAAGTACTGAAGCCAGCTGGGCACAAATGTTAGGAACAGCACAAAAGATCCAAAGCATCAAAGTGGGGGCTTTTCTTTTGCAGTCTATTATTCACAGTAGCTTTTGTCAGTACTGGTAGAGATCAGCAAAAGGATGTTTTCAGGTAGAAATACGATTTTGAAATTGTCTGTATCCATTTAAAATGTAAGACTGTAAATCAGGATGCCTTTTCATCAAACTTTTTGCAACAGCTTTGAAGAATTGGTGGAATAGTTGTCTTAAAATAATTAAAAGCCTGTGAAGGTGGGAAATAATTCTATACTTGCTTCAGGACATACCCAGGATTCTAAAGCACAGGAATATAAAGCTTTAATCATAAAGTGACAGTAGCAGCATGTAGGCTGTGCCATTTTCTGTTTCTCCATCTTACCATTATAAATTCCATATATATTGCTTAAGTCATCCATTGGTTCAGTGATGACAGAGAGACTGCCAAGTGCTATCTTACAAGGAGGCTCAATAAGGTTCTTTCTGCTGGCTTGTACTGCTTAGAATGAAATGTGTGGAATTAATGAAGGGGAATAATTCATGAGAGGAGATATTTGAGATACAGGTTGTGACATCAATTTGTATTAAATAAATATAGGAAGAGCACTGAGGTGTGTGTATTCACTTTTTCAGTGTTAGTGTCAATCTGTGAGGCTGATTTTATAGGGCTGGGTACAGATTTCAGGTTATCTGAGTTAACTTGTAACAAGTCTGCCATCAGTGGATTTACACTGTGTTTGGTTCATCTCATTAGATTTTATCTATGTAAATGGAATTAATGAGGGAGAAGTTTGGGGTTTAGAGTGAAAGGGTTCTAGATATGGAAGATGAAATGTAACAGGATCATGAGCTAGACTAGATGTGGTGAAAATATATATTTTGGTAATACTGGGCTGGAATTTAAATTTGTTTCTCTGCCAATGCAGGTTGACTCCATATGCCATTTTCATACATAAGTGCATCTGAAAACTGTCAGAGTTTGTGCTGCAAAGGAATATGTATGTCAAGGTAATTTTTAATGGATTTTTGTGTTGAAGAGTAGTAGAAGTTATACTCTCTGAATCCAGTTCTGGTCTGCTTGCTAAGATTCAGTGATTAGTGTGTACCTCACTCACCTGTCAAAACTGAATAAAATAGCATTGACATATATCATCACTTAAAAATTGTTGTGTCTTTCTGTTGCCCATTTTCCAGACTTTGAAGCAGAGATAAATTTGTTACTGACCTGCAGAAAACACTGGGATAGACTCAGAAGAAAGATGATATTAGCACTGTATTCAATACAGTACAAATTCCAGGTAGCTCAGCTCAAAGACGAGTCAAGCAAAAATTTTTACAGGAGAGGACTACCTGAGAAAGCACAAAAAGTAAGTCTTTTGGTAATTTTTTCTCCAGAAGCACTACTTGGGGTTTGTTTTGCATAAGTTTACCTATCATGTGAACAGCATTGTTTTAAGAACTTGCAGCTTATTTGTAGAAAACTTCCAGAACATAATATCCAGTGAGACTGACATAGAAACCAGCAAAAGGCTGATACAGGTCAGAGGTTTAATTTAATTTCTTCTTCAATCTAAGCAAGTTTGAGGATGCTGTTAAACTGGTTTTTATTGAAGTGAAACAGTTTAAGATACTCCACTAGTACAGAACTTTTTGTATTGCGTGAAGTGTCTTTTAAACATGTTATTTAACAATAAAATTTGCATATTATTACATTTGACATATTTGATAAGGAAAAAAAGCATTTAATTTAGGTTATATATTTTTGTTATAACCAGAGATCCTATTTCTTTTTTTCAAAGTTTTTAGGCAAGTATGTCTCTGTGTCTAGCTCCTAGAAATGTGCTGGAACACTGAGTAGGCATAGATGTCTGGTTTGAGTTTTTCTATTATTTTCCTATGTAGTATTGTCATGTGCTCTTTCAAAAACATAAAGTTGAGATAAAGACTGCATCAGGGAAGGAGGAAGGAAAAAGATCACAGTTTTGTTAAGGAGCACTTAGGTATAAATGGAAAAAAGAAAACCTTTACTATCAAGGTTTACCCTAGTAAATTCATTGTGATGGGGCAAAATTCTGTGTGAGTTTTGCAGTCCAGAACCTTTGAAGCTGCATAAGTAGGAAGATTCAAAGCAGAAAGGGGGCTATATTAGTTGAAAGGGTTATTGTGAATTACTAGGCTCTTGTTAATAATTAAGAAAGAATTGATGGGAGAAAACAGGTGACAAATTTGGATTAAATCCTAACATGTGTTTGGAAGCTGCCACTCTTACAGCTTGTATATTCCCTTATGCTATGAGGATCCCCAGCTCAGGGGACTCCTTTCTTTTGTGACTGAATATTACAGTCTGGGAGCAAGTAGTATTCTGTTTAAATATTGCTTGTGGAACAAAAACTTCGGTTTGTGGAAGGGTGAAAGAAAAGGACCTTAGAGAATTATGTTGCCCAAATGATGTTTTGGGTTTTTTTATTTGTTAAGAAAATGCAAAACTCTTGCCATTTGTTAAGTTGACTTGTCTTTACTCTTTACAAGGATCTACAGTTTCATTTGAATGACAAATAAGTACATTTTATTACAAACAAGGGTAAGTGCTGATTTCATGCATTTGCCCACAAAAACTCAAATACAGGCATAAAGACATTCACTAAACCATAAACAGAGTTGTAAATAAGTAGCCCACATGAGCTTTTCCTTGTAAAAAATGTGATGCCAAGGGCTGCATTTTATCTGAGTCATGAACTAATGTTTTGTCACCAGCAGAACATGGTGTTTCTTTCACACCAGATCTTAAAGTTGCTGAAAGTCTGGATATCACCATAAAGCTAATGTTTGTTTGTTGTTTTTTTTTTAAATAATTTACAAAGTACCTTGGGATATTTTGTAACATTATAATAACTTCTATTTTGTAAGATATGGATATAAAAGCATGCATATACTAGTTTAAAGCGCTTTCTGGCCTGGTTGTGGTTTGTTTTTAATTTGATAGTGTTATAAAGGTGGAGTATTTTCAAAATTTGCATTTAAATTCAGACCCACAAATGTTGGAATATTTGGACTCGTATCATGCTGCATTTTCTGAAT